AGGTCACAAAATTAGTAATTCAGATGTCTTTTTTCAAAAAATAACAAACTTGCATGTTTATAGAGAAAAGATATTTCTGTACGTCCTGTCTTGCAAAGCTGTGGTCACCAATCTATATGGTGCTCAGCTGCTGAGGGTAGCTAATATGTGGTCAGTGGGGTGATGGGGTAGAAGAAGACAGACCACCCTGTGGGACCACTCGCAAAGTTACTGCTGCCATACTATTCAGTTGTCAGGCAAGCTGGCTTTCGCAGTTGTGTCAATGGAGTATGGAGCATGATTTATGTGCTGTACAATAAAATGCTGTTTTCCCTTGCTAATTGTTATCTACTAGGGGAATTCTACTGGTGAAGCGGATATTAAAAATTGCATCATCTAAGATATGTGTGCCTTTACTATCATTATGGTTCCAAGGCAACTATGAAAGGCAACTTGCCTTTTTCAGTTCAGAAGCTGGAGCTAAGGGAGATATCTGGTTTGCAGTACAAGGCCTGTGAAACATGGCTGAGCATTGCCAATTCTATTTAGAAGGGGTCATTGGGGGAGTATAAAGGCTGTGCACAGGTACATGCATGTTCAAGTACATGTGCTACGTAAGTGATGTGCCATTGCAGTATCCATCTGCTTTTTGGTCTTTCTCCAACAATATTTTCTGATTTTAATAAATTCATAATAATTTATTTAAATTACGCAAAGGTGTTTGTAAGTAAATGCATTGATATTTAGTTGTGTATCAGCCTTATCCAATAATATGCAAATGATATACAAACATGGACAAGTGCCATAATAAGAAGTGGAAACATCCATATTTAGCATGGATATGTATTAACATCATATCAGTAACCTCATGAAGTTAGCAAGACTATGTCGACTTCCATTTCACTAGGCTGTTATAGACATTTCAATGACTGTTCCTGCGACTGTACTGAACACATGGTGCTCCTCATGCTTGCTAGCTTTGGTTATCGCCTTTGGTCCTTGACATTTTACATCACACTTGTAGTTGTTCAGTAAAGGTAGCATATAATAGCTAAGTTTTACTCACGTTGACACGTCTGTATTTAGGAGTTTGCTTGATAAACTGTGTCCAGGTGGCATTGACCAGGGCAGGAATAGCAGCATCACAAGAGCAAGAGGCTCCCCTATAACAGGTTTATTTAATGAACCAGGAGGACCTGCAGTGAGCCTGTTAGTGTTATCTGAAATAAGGCCTGTGACCACCCATTTTCTCATGTGATTCCCCGCCCCGTTCCCCCATTTCCATTTTGTTTGAGAGTGAGACTGCTTTGTTATTAACTATGACCCTGTGGAAGTGGACTGGAGAGATAAGACTTGGCTAAGGTAATAGATACAAAGAAAAGTCAGTTTGGAAAAAAATTAAATGGAATGGAAATGACAAGGCTATACTGACTGCATGTTGTTGAGTAGCTCAGTAGTTGGTCTTGACAGCTGGCTGTGAAACAACTGAATAAACAAAAATCTAGTAGTGCTACATTAATATAGCTCTTTTCGTTATATACGTCCTGAAATATAATTCTCTTTTAAGATTTGTCTTCAAATATTGATGTAATGGCCAGTGACTAGCTTAAATAAAATTTAACAGGCAAATGCAGATGCAAATTATTTTTCTGAGGCTCAAAACTTGCTTTCAGCTTGGAAACCTTAGGTTGCTGATTTTTCAAATCAGAATTTTGAACTACCTTTGACTTGAATCTGCTGCTGAATTCCTGAATTTGAACTAGGTTTTTATCATAAATAAATGAACATTGTTTGTACAACTTTTACTCAGTGATGCAATCACTTTTATGCTGTTCCATTTGCTGGAATTTGCTTGAAACACCTCCCTATGCATTTTACTAAAAACTTCATAGTACTACTAACCACTCTTGTGAAGTATTTTAAGAATCTTGGTCCCATATTCAGAAAATAGATACACTTTATAAAAAGTTTATATAAAACTTTTTATATATTTTTCATTTGTATAAACTAAAATAGATAGACTCTAAGTAACATTAGCACTGAGTAAGCTTGAGAATCTGAGAGTCTAAATTTTGAAAAAATAGTGCTACTAGGCATGTAAGTGTGTTTGAATTTTTTTCATAAATCCAATTTCTTGGTAAGATGTTTCCTAATAGCTTGAAAATCACGGTAACTGAATGACATTCTTCTGAAAGTGTTATGGCTACAAAGCAGGGGCTCTAAGTCAAGGGAAAAGAAATGTGGTTTCTGTTCTGAAGTTGAACAAATCAAAAATGCTTCAAAAGTATTGTAGGAAAGTGAGCGAGTGATCCTAAAGCAGTCAGTATCATTTAATAGCTAGGAAACTCATCTGGATTGTGGGAAACTCATGTTCAAGGCTCTAGTCAGCTGGCTGCTTTGAGCATGTTCTCTCTTCTTTTGCCTAAAATTGAATGTTAATGAATGATGTTTGTGTGACTTAGAAACCTCTCATTCTTGACATAGATGTTTTCTAAGACCGTTCCACTTTTACAAGGGGTTTAGAAATACAGAGGTGGATTCTCAATCTGCACTAAAAATTATTATGAAGATTTGTAAATATTATTCCACATGATTGGAAAAACCCTCAGAATCTCATTCATAGATTGTTAGCTGCTGCATGTCATGGGTTATTCATATCAATGGATAAATGGCAAAAACTCTTGAAAAAGAGAGTCCCTGAAGTCATCACAGTTTTCATTCTTTTGTAGATGCACTGATGTCAGGTAATCAAACGGTGTTCCAAGAACACTTTTTTCCTACTGTGTATGTGCCTTGCAATGTGTCTTTTTACATTTAGTTGAAAAGTTTTAGTTTTGATTTGGAACTGACATATATTCTGTCTTTTCTTTGCTGACTTTATTAGCTCTGCTTCAATATTTTAGGTTTTTCTGTCAGGTTATTGTCTGATAGTTCTATAAAACATAAGAACAGAAATGATACTTAAGCAGACACAAGGCTTCTGCGGTAATCTGGCAGTGCTGGTATTTCCTACAGCTTAATTTCCTGCATTGCTGCTGTGTGTTACATCTTCTCCTAATGGCCATCTTCCAGGTAGCTGTTGTGCTTCTTGAAAAAGTTTCTTGAACTCAGTTTGATCAAGTCTAGAGAAAACTTTTATTGCAGTTTGGATCAATTTGCTCTTGTAGATTACCTTCCTAAACAAAAGCATTTGGTCATGATGTTTTTACTGTATTCTTAAATTCATAACAGGGGATGGATACAACACAATGAAATGTGGAAAGGAAAGTATTCAACATTTTCTGTGAAGTGTTACTTTCAAAATTTCACAGCATACAACCTCAGCTGAATCTTATAATGAAATCAGTAGAATTTGGTAATGTCATCATGGTGGATTATTGGAAAGATGTATCCTTTTAACCTGGAAAAGAAAACACATCATGTCTTCCCCATGTGTCAAACCCCTCTTTGACTCACAGTAAATCTACTATTTAAACTGCTTAAGTTATCTTGGTTTATATTGACTAATTTGTTTAGGGAAAATGGCATTTGTTTAATTGGTGAATTATGGGGCAGGTTGGAGGAAATTAATCTCTGCCTTGACATGACATTGAGAAGCTGATGGTCCGCTGCAGGCTCTAACCTCTTCAGCTAACACTGTGGGGGCCAAAAAATGACAGACGTGTCCAAGGTCTTGGCCTCTTTTCCCAATGACAAATAATCCTTGATTCTTGTCTCCCTGCAAAATCACAGATGTTCTGCTGCCTCTTCCCCTAGAGCAGAGGAGTCTCTAATTCTTCTTCTTTCCTAGTCTCTAACAACTTCCTCCTTTGTTGTGGGAAGCAAAACCTTCTCTTTAACCCTTTTTCTAGTTGTGTTTTCCCCTTTGCACACCTACTTTTTAATTCACCTTTATGTAAGCCTGAAAGCTGACAGCATGGTCCCAAAGTCTTGTTTACAGATGATGATGAACATGTCCAACCACAGGGGTTAACAGGGAGAATGTTACTGTAAGAAAAAAGGTTGGATGTTGCCTTCAAACTGCTTATATATAAATTCATACATTCAACAGAGATTTAAAAGCAGTCCATATCTTCCTCTTCTTACACAATACTACTTATGTGAAAGAGTTTTCTTGCTTGCATGCATATGCATATGTATGCTAAATTACTGATCAGCATGAATAAGCAGGACAGAGGCATGACTGAAAATGGTTTTGGTATGCTAGAGTAAGCCCTACATTTAGTGTGTCATACTCCAAGGGACATTAGGCTGAGTTTTGCAGAGTTATACAGAATGGTACTGAAGGACATACGCAGTCAGAAAAGTACCTTCCCTGAAGACCTGTTATGCTACATCTTTTAACTCTAACTGAAAGGATATTCACATTTAATATCCATTGTCCTTGAATTTCCTCATCTTCAAAACTTTTTTCACATCAAGGTTGGGTTCCCCCTTGCCTCCCCCCCCCCCCCCCCACACCCCTGCCGTTCCCACGGTCTCATCTTAACATTTCTTTCCTCAATATGACTGATAAAACTTTCATAGCTGACAAACCAAAACAGTAAAGTTCACTTTTGACAAATACATATTTTCCAAGAGGAATCAATACAATTTAGAAGGTTTGTCCATTACATATCCATGTATATAATGGACATATATTCATAGCCACTTCTAATTGAAGAGGAGCTTTTTGACTGAAAGACAAAATATCTGACTCTTTTTTTTCCAGAATCCTATATAGCTATTTACGTTGCAAACAAGAACTCACCAAAGAAAACTGATGTCTAATAAACTGTAGTGTTGTTTGTGCTATATTAGTGTAGCTAAAAAACATTAAGCTACCTTAACACTTGTCTTCAGTATTTTGAGTTGGTTTAGACTAGGAAACAATGCTCTTGTAAAGAAAAAGTGACAGTTTTATACCCCTCTGTCTAGGACAACTTGCTGCGTTGTAGTGGCATACATCCCCCAGTGCCTGGCACAGATTCACCTTGTCATAAACTCTAACATCCATTTATAACACTGTGTTTTTTGTAAAGATGGCAGCAGGAACGTGTATGCACTGCTTTGGAAAAGAGGCGCTCTCCATGAAGGAAAAACTGTCTTTTAGGAAACATGAAAGATACTTAGTGATACAAGCACGTGCTTCATGTATGCAGCTAAATCTCATGCTTATGTTGTTTTGTGATCCAGAGACACTTATTAAAGATGTATTGAAGGACCTAGAGAAACACCAGGTGAATGTGGAGAATCTCAGCTCAACAGAACTGGATGAGATCGCTGATACTATCGCCAATGCAATTCAAACAGTTGGCATTCAGGAAGAAACGGAGGGTGGTGCTGGAAAAACTAGAGAAGACAAAACAGAAGCGCAAATGAAAAAAGGAGGTGCTCAAGGAAGGACAGAGATTCAAACTGGATTAACGGAACACAGTGTTAACGTACCAGGTATTAATTCTAAGAGTTAAGTACAGCAAAATATAGCTACCTTAATTTTCTTTTATTGTTTCACAGTAGTGCTAGACTATTTTTAATCAGTTTTAAAGAGGACAGGAGTGAAAGTTTCTTTATGTTTCCCTGAAGGCTGCACAATTTTAGCTTTGTTATTTTCTTTTTACAGCAGATACTTTATTTATTGAAAATACATCTTTTTTGTGAACCCTTGGTCTTCAAGCTTCACAAACAAGATAAACCTACACACCCAATTATATTGAAATACAAATTGCTTTATGTTGTGTGGTCTAATTTCCCTTTCTTGAAAAGGAGATGTTTAAGCAAAACGATAATGAAAAATTATTATATTCCAATAATATATTTCAAAATATTTGGGGGAAAAAATTGTGTTTTATAGATAATTGTTCTTTAATGTACCACAATTACTTGCAGAAGAAAGTCTTAGACAGGTACAGGTAGAAAACTACTTGTTCCCTTTCGTGCTTAGGGAAATAAAAAAGTTATTGTTATTTGCTTCTGTCTGGACACATATTTTCCTGGTGATGCAGATTCAGGAGCTGCAGTAATTGCCATTAATGAGTTGATACCACAGTGGCACATAAGTTACCACTTACCCATTCTCTGTTTTAGGAGTGTTACGATATCTAGGACACCAACAACATATGCTATAAGTGAAAAAGAGTTATTTTAATTTACTGTCTTTTTTCATGGTGAGATATTGAAATTCTTACTAGTTAGGGATATTCTGGTTATTTTAATTGCCAGTTCTTTTTGTAGATTAAAATGAGCAGACGAGGGTTTGTCCCGAATCATGCTGGGAAAGATGAATTAGACTCAGTTCATAAACCAAAAAGCCAACTTTATTTGACTGAGGTTAATGATGTGACTGCATATCATCACTGTAGTTAAACTAAAAAACATGGTTTTGGTAGACGATATCTATTGAAATAAGTCATCTTCTTCCACCAAAATATGTATGAGGGATGTATATGTTTCCTTTTTCCTTAATAGAAATTTCCATTCAGCTAGTTAGAGCCATTTTATTGGGTTTTTTTCTTAGATATTGATAAACTGATATGAAGATTGGATACTTAATTAGCAAAATAACACTATTACATTGGCTCTTGAAGTACCCTGTCTATTGATCTTGCATTAATTTCTTATTGAAGTGGGGTTAGAATAACAATACTGGATTATACAGTGCTCTTTACTCTGCCCTTTCAGCTTTGATGTCTTAATGTTTAAATTGCATGAAAAGGCCACCACTAGAAAGCAGCCTATAAGCGGTGTTTGTATCATATATGATGTTTTCCCTTCGTAACTATGTATTTGTGCTTTTCATATCCTACAGACAATGGAGTGCATGAAGCCAGTGAGAGAACTGATAAACAGGTAGAGTACCAGTATTTTAACAAAACGAGTATTCCACCTCAGAATATCAGGTTCATATACCGTGAAGGTCAAAAACACACTTCTGAAACAAGACTTGTTTTGCGTATTCTGTGGATATAATTCAATATCACAGCACAGGCAGATTGTTGTTGATGCATTGAAATATTAAATGAACATTTATTTAAACCTTAACCAAAATGAGTTTTGCAGTTCAAAAAACCAAAATCAAGTCCTGTTATGCCCTTCTTTCATAGAACAGTCATAACAGATCCCAAAGCTCAGACAAATTCAGGCTTTTTATTTAGTAAATTTTGAGTATTGAGGTGTTCTTGAAAACACCCTTCTTTCACCTGTCCTTTGGCTCTTAGTTTGGGGGAGTGTAAGCATCCTCGCTCAGATAATCTCTCTGGTTTTCAGAAGCAGAAGCACGTGTTTGTGGGAGGGTTCAAAATTCCCTCTGCTTTCATGGGATCTGTCATTCTTCACTTTACCATTAATTCTTCCAAATCGTTGAATATCAGAGGTATTTAAAAAACTCTAGGCATTACATCTTGTACCTTAGGTGGTAACATCAAATTTGGGATTTTAATCCAGATTACTTTTATGTATTCCTTATGAGCTTTGAATCATATCCTATAGACTTATGTCCATATTCAGCCAGTTTTGAGATATATAAATCTTTCTTTTTCTGGGTTGCATGGAGCAGAAAAATCTCAAAGAAATATTTTTAAAAACTGCCATGAAACTTCTCCTACTATATGCTCTATCAAAAGCTAACACTGCAAGACTCGTAAATGGGCAAACCCTCTTGTGTCCACAGTAAAACATCTTTAGTAGCTGCCCTTCTACCAAGCAGGGAAAACACACAAGTGGACAATGTAGCAGGAGCTTTAACCACCCACATGAAATTCTTCAAGGAATGAAGCGCTGCATTCACAATAGGCTTACAGAGGATCCCACGTGAAGATTTCTTAGTGACAGTTTGAATAGGGGATGTGATAGGAAAGGATATATTGTGACACAGAGCACAAAGTGCCCATCAGCAGTCATTTCCTCCCAAATGCTTGGCTGCGATAAACTTATATAATGAAACTAGCTAACAAATTGTTCCAAGTGTGTGTTTTGACTTTTGCTTATTTGCATATTGCTTCAATTTATTAGACAGACTTTTTCTGTGATCGTACGTTTAGCTTAGTGGATCACTCACAAAGAGTTTGTCACAATTTCTAGAGATGAATAAGTGACATATAATTCATCACGTAATATCTGTTCCCTTTCCTGTGTTATGACTTGTGAGACCCAAGAGTTTTGGGTCCCAACACTTAGGCATATTGATAGATATTTCTACTATTTCTCCTTTTCATTAACTTATTTGAGAACAGTTTTATTCTCGTCAATACTTAAACAGTCAGACACATGAAAATGAACACTATGAAAATACCATCAGCATTTTCTTCTAGCTGTTCAAGACAGAGGAAAGGCTATCTAGATTCTGTGGTATCTGAAGAAGAAAGTAACTGTTAGCTGTAGAATTTCTTTGCGCTTATTAAAACTATTGAAAAATACAGCGGTATAATTTAATGCTCTTTTTGTTATTACTGAATAAACATTATGTTCTTACATAGTCTGGCAGCATGTAGAAATTAAGAAAATGACCATGCGACATTTGTATGAATAGACTATACCATATCAGTAAGAGTTTGAAAGATTATATCTAGGTTTGGTTCAGTATGACAGTCCTGTGTTTAGTTTTAATAATAATAATATTCTTTTAATACAGGAGAGCACTGCAAAACTAGTTAACTTCTTGAATGAGAATGCATTACCTGAAAATATGCCTGAAGACCTTATACCTGAAGAATCTACCAAGACAGAAACCAAGAAATCTGAAGACACTGACTCTTCTTCCTCAGAAGAAATAAATGCTGGTGTGGAAAATGTAAAAAGTGAGACTTTCTCAAGGGAACTGACAGCTGCAAAGAACAGTGAATCTGACTCCAAAGACCAGAACGAGACCCGCTACTGGATTAAGAATGCTTTAATGCAGGATGGAAACTCCTATGATGAGCCTCCTGAAAATATGGGACAAGGCTTACAACTTGAAGTGAAGTCTTCCGAGGATAAAGAATATGGCTATATAGTGACAGTGAAAGAGTAAGTACAGCAGCCAATGGCATCTTTAACTGGAGAAAAGATAAAGTTATTGCACCTAATGAAATATGAATGTACAGGAAGAAAATGCCACAGGCCTGATTTTTAATACATCTGAAACTGTTTGGGACCTGTTCAGTACTTTGATGAAACTACAAGAATACAGTTCCATTTTCTTACAGTTGCCTTTCCTCCAATGCGGAAGATATTTAGTTTGTAGGTCTTTTGCTCAGACCTCTCTCTGTCTTCTCATGTTCCAGTGACCTTCCAATATGTCAGTGAGTGTGCTTATGGTTAGGATGTGGGCTTTAAATATTTGACTTGAAAGTAGCCTAAATATCAATGCCTGAGTCATTCTTTCAAAAAATGACACAAAATAATAAAGCACAATATTTTCTCAGTGGTTTCATTTTGATCTGAATATAACACGTATTGGAATCCAAACATCACATATGCAGCTAGTTAAGAAAGAAACACCTAATGATTTCAGGTCATGTCACTAATGAATTTGACATTTAACACTATACTTTGAAAAGACAGTTTTTTTCCCTGGTGATACACAGTTTATTTTAGGAACATTTGGGAGTTTAGAACTGTGTGGGCACTTTTACATCCTCCCCCCCACCCCCACCCCACCCCTGTGAGAACAATGTTATATTTGGTTAACGATCCCGACTCATCTTCTGTGAGAAATTAGGAATTTCTAGGATGGACTTACAAACCTCTGCATAGCATTATAGAGAAACTGAGACTGAAACTTCTGTAGCATGGATTAACTCTTTTGACTGTCTCAAACTTATTAATGGGATCGAAGCGGTAGGATTGTGGAGAATTCTTGTTTTTTCCACGTTGTGTTGCTTTGAAATGCCTGTGGCTGGGTATCAGAGGACAGCTTCTTGTTTACCTTCTCCTAGGGGCTACACTTGAGAGAGATAGGATCACAAAGAAAGAACGCCATTTGGGGGGAAGAGATTTTATGTGGTGCATGGAGGGACAGGCAGATGGGAGGAGAGTGAAAGCTGAGGTTCGGCAGCTTGCAAACATCAGAGACAGAGGCAGACAGAGACTTCTCAAAAAGTAGAGAATACCTACTCCTCAGAGATAATGGCAGGAATATATATTTCATAAGGACTGAGAGGTTACCCTGCAGAAAATAAAAGGTACTTAGTTACTAGAATGAGAGATGCTGAAGGAAAGGGCTCACCTTGTGAGAACATAGTGGAGATGAGAATTATGTTAACAGATCCTTGCATTGTTATCTTGTCTCATTCTGAGTTTTATTTTTACCATTTTAATGTTAAATTTTATTCACTTTATAAAGAAACCTAGCTCTAGAGTTTAGAAAAGACCTTTTGGGAGTTTTGGAGTACTTGCTTTAAGGAAAGTCCCAAATGATTTGAGGTCCTTATAGTTCTGTTAACATGTCTGTGTGTCAATAACTACTCTTAATCATTATTTAATGACCAAGTGCTTTGGATTTAATTAGTCAGTTTTAAACTGCTTTTGCAATTACACTTTTCAGTTGTTTTTGTTGACTGGTTCCTGTAGCAGGGTCACTATTCTCAAGAACCTGCTTCAGGAGAAAGCTAGTTATTACAGAGTATTCTTCCAGTTTTTTGTCTAGGTCATACCTTAGTCCTTCAGGTAGATTACATTTCTGTTTGCTTTTTGTCAAGGAGGCACTCAGGAGTCTCCTTCTGTGTTTTTGAAACCAGTCTACCAGAAATTGATGGTATAGCCTAGTTTAACCACACCTCTTGGTTCCTGCCTATGAATGCGATGTGAAGCAGTAGAAGCCAGTTTTCCCCCAGCTCAGTCCTACTTCTCCCAGGGCTTTTAACTCACATCAGCCTGGAAGGCAGCTTTATATCCAACAGTATCTTAATGACACCATCTCCCTTGACCATCCAGACTTATTTGGCTCATAAATTCTCTAAAAGCTTAGAGCTTTCACAGCTTTATGTAAGGGGAGATGTTCTGACTTTCTGTCTTCAGAGCATGTAGATTCTTCACCTTGTCATCTTACCTGGTTTTCTTCCTGGCTAGTCCCCCACTAATGGGTTTTCCCCAAATTGTGTCCATTATTATTCAATGAAACTCGCTGAAGAGGGTCGTTTGTCCAAAGGTTCTTGGTCCTAGAGGACTCTATATACACAAATATATTAAGCATAGATTTGTTCAGCTTCTTTACCATTTTCAATACCAGAAAGACAAAAAGGGCTTTTCTTATGTACTAGATTATTACAATCTTAGTAACTTTTGGGCAAGATGGTTTTAGATAAATATTGGGATGTTGTTAAAAATACTCAGAAATGATGAAAAAAAATTTGCAATGAGTTAGATGAGACTACTTCAAATGGTTTGAATTCAAAAATATGTTTATCAAAACAATTTTGGCTTTTAATGGTAACCAGCTTATTACACAAAGCACATGCTATTTGTATTCAGAAAACTTAACTGATAACTCCTCACCACATTCTTACCACTTTGAGTACAACTAGATGTCATCTTCTCCAAATTCACTGTAGAGAAAAAGAGAATAAGCTTTCATGGGTTTTTTTTTTTTTTTTTCAGTTCCTAATCTAGAATAAGTTAATTATTAAAGAGAATTAGCTGATTGAATTGACCTAAAGCAAAATTCCTTTTGTACCAGGATTGTGTTGCATTCGATCTGCAGCAAACAGATTTTGGTTCAGGGTTCTTAGCCAGTGACTTATAACTCTTCAGTGATTTGACCCTCCTCAGCATTTCAACTCCAAAATATACTGGTTTAATTTTTCTCGTTGTTAAACTTGTTTGTTTTGAATAGGTCTATCTGAAATGTAACAGTAAAATGGAAACCCCATATTTTGCAAAACAAAATTTATATTTTCTGGAATTTTATAATAACAACAAAACCTGTTCGGGAAATTCCACATGCTAAAAATGGACTTGTCCACTCTGCAGGAACAGTGAAATACTTTCTACAGCAGTTGAGGGATCTGTTATGTACTAGTATTTCCCACAACCATTTCTTTAGCTCATAAAATGGCCTTAGAGAGCAATTGGGTCAGTGTAGCCGAGAGTTTCAGTAAGGACTTGGTTTCATGAATGTTGCTTTAATTGTATTTTTTCTTGGGGGAGAGAGGGTAGAGAAAGGGATGTTTGTTAACTGTCACTGCACAGAAGAGAAATTTTAGTGTCCATTTAAGGAACATTTCTTTAGTAAGCTTCCTGTATCATTAAGTTTTTGTACTGAAAACCTTACTGGCTGTTTGCAGTAAATAAATAGTATTGATAAATGGCTTAGGTGTATGTTACACATTTGTATATAACTGTACATGCATGTTATATTCATACAGTGAAGTAAAGGGTCTGGAACTATTCCTAGTCAGATCCTTAATCTTTGTCAGTCTAAGATCACTCCTGTTTGAGAGGTGATTGTATTCTGTAAATATTCAGGAAATTGATTTCACAACTGATCTTTGATATTTTGTGTTTAGATCTTTATGCTTTTTTAAAGTTCTCTATTTTAAATAGAGAGGAAGCTGGGGCTAAAGGTAGGCATGAAATTTATTTTTCTAACAGCCTGAGTGTTAGACAAATTCATATGTGAAGTATCTTTCTTGCAGCAATTAGCACATTTAAGATTATAAACCTAAAATTATGATTTAGGTGGGGCTTTTTATTCCACTCTTAACTTGTGCACACAAAATGAAATGCCAAGATATGCCATGAAAGGTACTTATTTATTTTCCAATACTACTATCTTAGTATGTTTTTCTTCTTCCTCCATAAAGCAATAGGTCATAGTTTCAATCCATCAATTTTTATTGGCCATGATTTTTTGGAGCAACGAAGCTTCATTTTTACAGCTGAAACAGTGGTCTTTTGGTAAGAAAGGGAAGTAGTCCAATATATTTGTACACTGGAGGATATCTTGAATTCTTTTCACCTTCTGATCTCAAAATGGAACTGAAAAGATTATACTTGGTGGTATAGTCGACAGATGTCAGGGGTGATCCATTCACTATTAGATTCTCAGGCTTCCATGCCTCTGCAAGTGTGACCCAAGGAGATATTAAGACTGCTTCAGTGAACTCCTAAGATGCCAGCTTTTAATTGTGCCACAAAGCAAAGATAAACATTTCCATGTAATACTTGAAGAAAAGATTTGTGATAGTTTAAAGACTTGTCAAAACGGCCGTCTGATTGTCAATGGCAAGAACAATAGGTCGCTCCTGCTGTGTTTGTCGAGTGACCTTTCAGATGGTTGGAGCAGTGCAATCCATACCAATCCATAATATCCATCAGTGCTAAGCTTTGGAATGAATTGAGAGTTTCAGTGTAGAAAATTGTCCAGCAAATCCTCCACTGTGCTGCTTCAGCACTTTATTATGCTGAGAAACCAATCAAATTGGGTGATTTACTTTGTTTACTCTTTTCTCCTTCAAAAAATTGATATGGTACCACTGTAGGATTTGTGTGAAAGAGGTTTGTTTCTTTCTCAGCGTAATTGTTTTGAACCGTTTCTACTAATTTTAGCTCTGAAATTCTAAAGTAAACTTATAAAACAAAGTTATCTACAAGATGTTATTTTCATTTGTATGCTACTTTGGCCATACTTACAAAATACCTCTCTGTTATAGTGGGGATACATCAATGTGAGCTCTCAAATCAGGGAAGTCCTTGCCTTTGGACCAAAGAATTCTTATTTTCTGAACTTCTAGTTCTTCAAGTATGGAAAACTTTTTTTTTTATTTGGAAATAATGCCAACGCTCCCATTTTTCTGGCAGGATATGGTCTAAGCTGAGGGCCTAAATCCCACAATCAAAGCATTCAAACAGTGGTTAGCCTCCGGAGTCCCTCATGAGGAAACCCAAAGCCTGACTTTCCAGAACATGTAGCTCTTATCACCTCCAGTAAAACCAAATGCAAGCTGCTGCATGCTCAGCAGTTTAAATAGTCAAGCTGGTGTGCAATTTCTTAAATATGAGATTGAGTAGTTAGACTTAAATGCACT